GGGCTGGGGATTTGAACCCGCCACCTTAGGTGTATGTGGCTGGCGCCTTAGCCGCTTGAGCCACAGGCGCCGAGCCGTGATTTACCCATTTCTTATCCCAGGACCTAATAACCTGGCACTTCCAAGGTCTCCAGGTGAATGCTCCCAGTTACTGAGCACTTCTACCCCCACACAGAAGGCTTCACAAGTCAGCCAGGTTGTTCTTCCCCATTCTCCTTTGTGTCACTACTAGTTGCCTATCTATTATCCATTTCCTGCCATCTTCCTTGCTGACTAAAATTCAATTTTGTTCAGAGTAGCAATGTGCTAGCTAAATTTACTATCCGGCTCCCTTGCAGCTAGTAATTGTGAACGATATTACAGAAGATGGTTTTGGCCAATAAAATAAAATGGAAGTGGGACCTCCCGAAAGGATACAAAAATACTTAGGGCTGCCCTTCTCCCATCTTCTTTCTTACTCATTTAAATCAGTCACAATGGCCAGAGCTATAGTAGCAGTCATGTAGTCAGACTACAGCTACCTTGTCGTCATGATACAAAGGCCACCAGGATTATAGAAATATTGGCCCTATTGACAGAGAGGCTAAACAAACACCACCTGCCTATATATTTCTTGTGATGTGAGAAAAACAGATCCTTACTTGTTTAGGCCACTGTAGTTGGAGTTTTTATAACTTGTAGTTAAACATGTTCATACCAGGTAAACTCATTCAATCCAAACCATTGGAGAAGGGAGGAAAACACAGCTCAGCATAAAGCGCAGGAGTGGGGCACTTAGAAATTCAAGGGCCTCGCTACTGAGCAATAGCAGGAGATCTAAAGGGAAAATGTGGCCGTATCAAGAAGAAAGGTGATAACTAATGAGTCCAAAATGGTGTCAGAAACTTGATATGGTGAAATTCTAGCATGAATAAAGCCTGTGTGTGTTTGATAAAATAGTAACTCTCATAAAGGCTTCACAGATACTTGGTTAAATACCCATGTGCCAGCCATACATAAACATTGTGGATGCTGGAAAGTGAATTATTAATGTCAAGTCTCTGCATGAAGTCAACTGGAAATGAGATTCCATTAAAATAAAAAAGAAAATTAAAGTCTCATTTGGTCACCCTGGGTTAAAGTGCCATGGCATCTAAGCTTGCAGCAACCTCAAACTCTTAGGTTCAAGTGAGCCTCTTGCCTCAGCCTCCCAAGTAGCTGGGACTACAGATGCCCACCACACCTTCCGGCTATTTTTTAGAGACCAGATCTCATTCTGGCTCAGGCTGGTCTTGAACCAGTGAGCTCAGGCAATCCACCCATCTTGGACTCCCAAGTGTTGGGATTATAGAACCTTGCCTGGCAAGAAAATTAATTTAGAGGTCATTCACTCTTAGCACACATTGATACATATACTTTCTTCCTATACTGGCTATATATGGGGAAGAAATCCAGCCAAATCTACTTGAAGGAGGAAGTAAGTTTAATTTATGCAGCAACTAAAATCTTATATGTTGAACTCAGCTAGAAAGGAAAATCTTATATGAGACCCCTTAGTAATTCAGCATAAACAATTAAATGAGTCAAGAAGAGAAGCCACAATGTTTAGGCTACAGAGGCAGGGTTAATATGTTCTAGCCAGCTCACCTTGTAACCTGCCCTTGCAAGGACAATGCCAGGATTCAGGGCCTCAATCTATAACCTCATGCTCTGGCAGCTTGTGGGTAGTTTGCCCAATATGTTAACACAGGAAATAGAGACTCTTTTTTTTTTTTTTTTTTTGAGACAGAGCCTCAAGCTGTCCCCCTGGGTAGAGTGTTGTGGCATCACAGCTCACAGCAACCTCCAACTCCTGGGCTCAAGCGAGTCTCCTGCTTCTGCCTCCCAAGTAGCTGGGACCACAGGCGCCAGCCACAACGCCTGGCCATTTTGGTTTTTTTTTTGGTTGCAGCCATTGTTGTTGTTTGGGAGGCCCGGGCTGGATTCGAACCTGCCACCTTAGGTGTATGTGGCTGGCACCTTAGCCACTTGAGCCATAGGCGCTGAGCCGAAATAGAGACTCTTATTGAAGATGCAAGCAGTATCATTTCCCTACTACAGAATCCCTATTGACTGATCCATTTGCATGAGCCCATTTAGGGAAAGGGTAAAAAGAAGACTGACAGGCTGGGAGTGGTGGCTCACACCTGTAATCCCAGCACTCTGGGAGGCTGAGACAGGTGGATCACTTGAGCTCAGGAGTTCCACACCAGTCTGAGCAAGAGCAAGAACAAGAGCAAGTCCCTGTCTTTACTAAAAAAAGTTTAAAAATTAGCTGGGTGTTGGAAGGGTGGTGGTACCTATATTCAGGAAGCTTGAGGCATGAGGATCTTTCTCTCTCTCTCTCTTTTTTTTTTTTTTGAGATAGAGTCTCACTTTGTTGCCCTGGGGTTGAGTGCTATGGCATCATAGCTCACAGCAACCTCAAACTCCTGGGCTCAAGCGACTCTTTTGCCTCAGCCTCCTGAGTAGCTGGGACTATAGGCACCCGTCACAACTCCTAGCTATTTTTAGAGACAGGATCTCGCTCTAGCTCAGTCTGGTCTTGAACTCCTGCATTCAAGCAATCTGCCTGCCTTGGCCTCCCAGAGTGCTAGGATTACAGGTATGAGCCACTGTGCCTGGCCAAGGATCTATCTCTTAAACCTAAGAGTTTGAAAACTGGTTGCTGTGAGCTATGATGACACCACAGCACTCAACCCCAGTGCGACAGAGTAAGACTCTGTCTCAAAAAAAAAGAAGACTGATGATAGATAAGAAACCAAAGAGGTGGAGAAGTTGCAAATGGTGAGAGACTGACTTACCTCAGTAGCTTTCTGGCTGAGTCCCCGAAGCAGTAGCACAACCACGTGGATGGCAGCTCTGCGCACTTGAACTTCATGGTCTGTTTTAGCCACAGCAATCAGACAGGCTGTTACCTATTAAAGTAAGGGAAGAAGTTGGTAAAAATCAGGATTGCAGGCTTGGCACCTGTGGCTCAAGTGGCTGAGGCGCTAGCCACATACACCTAAGGTGGCAGGTTCTAATCCAGCCCAGGCCCGCCAAACAACAATGACGGCTGCAACCAAAATAATAGCCAGGCGTTGTGGTGGGCGCCTGTGGTCCCAGCTACTTGGTAGGCGGAGGCAGGAGACTCTCTTGAGCCAGGAGATGGAGGTTGCTGTGCGCTGTGATGCCACAGCACTCTACCCAGGGGCATAGCTTGAGGCTGTCTCAAAAAAAAAAAAAAAGAATCAGGGTTGCACAATTACCTGTAGTCTTTCCAGTGTGTTCCACTTACTACACACTCATTAAGGGCAATCTGGCTTAGAGAGGGATAGATCTAATGACAGAGATCTTGCTACAGTCTGGGTCTTCTGTAAAAGGACAAAACCTGGAATTCAGGAGGGAGGTTAGGGTTGGGAAGGAATATGTGTACTATATGTATGTATGTATGTGTATATATGTGCACGCACACGTATGTGTGTGTGTGTGTGTGTATATATATATATAAAAAATTTTTTTTTGGACACAGTCTTATTCTTCTTCCCAGGCTAGAATGTGGTAGCATTAACCCAGCTAACAGCAACCTCAAGCTTCTGGGTTCAAATGATCCTCCTACCCCAGCGTCCCAAGTAGCTGGGAATACAGGCGCCCACCACAATACCTGGCTAATTTTTTTTCTTTCTATTTTTAGTGGAGATGGGGTCTCACTCTTGTTCAGGCTGGTCTCAAACTCCTAAGCTCAAGAGGTCCTCCTGCTTCAGCCTCCCAGAGAGCTAGATTACAGGCATGAGCCACCACACCTGGGAATAATATGTATTTTTTAAAAGGTAAGGTCAAATGTGAACATTTCCTCAAAAGTGGTAAGAATTTTTATGTGTGCCCCTTTGAGAACATTGTACAAAGGGAAAAAGATGAAACATAGCTGCTTTTGGAGACTGAGAACCATGGGGACTTAGCGAAGGAGGCTTCAGCGTTCAAGGCCTGGCATGAAGATGAATGCTGAAATACAGGGCTACAGAAATATTGAAATATTCAATCTAATCTTAACTCATGTGAGTCAGCAGGGTCCATTTCAGAAACTCCCTGGCTGGGCTTCTTCATTTATGAAATTGGTCTTTTTGTGCTCAGTTAATTTATTTATTTAAAAAAATCTTTTCAAATTAATATGAAGGTACAATATTTACAAATTAATATGAAGGTTACATTGTTCTCACTTCTCGGGCAAAGTTCCATTTGTGGAAGAGCCCCTCACTTAAGGGGTGTGTTATACCACCTCACAATGTGTACATTAGGCGAGATCCCGCCTCCTGCCCTCCTTTCCTCTGCCATACGTCCTCCCCCCTCCAGCTTCCCTCTACTCTTTAACTGGACTATAATAGTGTTTATATATTGATTTCATATTAGTATGGAGTACATTGGATATTTATCTTTCCATTCTTGCAATACTTTACTAAGAAGAATGTATTCCTTTTTTTTCTTTTTGAAGCAGAGCCTCGAGCTGTCACCCTGGGTAGAGTGCTATGGTGTCTTCACTCACAACAACCTCTAACTCTTGGGCTCAAGTGATCCTCTTGCCTCAGTTTTTCTTTTTTTTTTTTTTAAGCTGTTGTGGGCTGGGTTTGAACCTGCCACCTTCAGTGTATGTGGCTGGCGCCCTGCCGACTGAGCTACAGGCGCTGCCATTTTTTTTAATTGAGACAGGGTCTCACTATGTTGCCCTTGGTAGAGTCCCATGGTGTCACAGCTCACAGCAACCTCTAACTCTTGGGCTTATGTGATTCTCTTGCCTTAGCCTCCCAAGTAGCTGGTACTACAGGCACCTGCCACAACGCCCAGCTGCTTTTTTGTTGTAGTTGTCATTGTTGTTTTCAACAGGGCCTGGGATAGGTTCGAACCCACCAGCCCCCGTGTATGTGGCCAATGCCCTAACTGCTGAGCTATGGGCACCAAGCCAGAAGAATGTATTTCAGCTCCATCCAGGTAAATGTAAAAGATGTAAAATCTCCATCTTTTTTAATGGTTGCATAATATTCCATGGTATACATATACTATGTTGATCCATTCATAAGTTGATGGGCACTTAGGTTGCTTCCATGACTTGGTTATTATGAATTGTGTGCTCAATTGTAGCACAGTGGTTACGGCACCAGCCATATGCACTGAGGCTGGTGGGTTCAAGCTTGGCCCAGGACAGCTAAACAACAATGACAATTGCAACAAGAAAATAGCCAGGTGTTGTGGTGGGCACCTGTAGTCCCAGCTACTTGGGCAGCTGAGGCAAGAGAATCACTTAAGCCTAAGAGTTGGAGGTTGCTGTGAGCTGTGATGCCACAGCTCTCTACCAAGGATGGCATAGTGAGACTCTGTCTCAAAAAAAAAAGACAGTTCTATAACAGAAAAAACAAAACTGGAAATAACTTGCAAAACATAGTGCTAGATATGTAGCTAATAATATTTGCCATAAAATGATACAGTTTCTATACCCTGTACCAGCTATCCTGACCCTTCTTAGCTCCTGGTAGGCACAAAAATGTCCTAAAATCTTAATAAAGAGATAAAATTAAAAACAATAATAAAAATCAGAACAAACCTTTCTGAGGTATTCATCCATGCTTTAAAAAGAAAACATAAATTTTGGAAGTGTGACCAATGGCTGCAATATGAAGGTATTTCTAAATCCAATTGTTCTATCATTAACTTTTGATATTGGATTTACTATGTGAGCATATTCCTTGGCCAACAGTGCAGTGATTTCTAACCATAATAAGAAAATAGCCAGACTTTGTGTTTGGAAATATGTATAAATACATATTATGTTTAAAGAATGGTGAATACAGGCAAAAATGAGAAAATAGGCCTTTGCAGAAATTTTAACTATGCAGGTTGTATTTTTCACAGCTTTCAAACAGTTGGGCAGAGTTCAAAGTGTCTAATTAATCAGTGATGGCACAGAGATTAGAAGAAGTAGCATGTTCTTAGATATAATTGCATCTGTGATGCGCTGGCATTTAATCAAGTTGTACATCTATTAGACAAACTTGTAGCTTATAAGCAAAGGGAAATCTCAGAAAAGTTCAACATTTGGGAGACTGTTTTCTTCTTTTTTTAAAATTTCAAGTTAATATGACGGTATAAATTGTTAGATTACATTGTTCTCATTTCTAAGGTAAAGTTCCAGTTGTAAAAGAGACACTCACCTAGAGGGTGTGGTACACACCCACACACTGTGTCCATTAGGTGAGATCACACCAAATGCTCTCTCTCCTTTTGTTTTTTTGAGACAGAGCCTCAAGCTGTCCCCCTGGGTAGAGTGCCATGGCTTCACTGCTCACAGCAACCTCCAAATCCTGGGCTCAAGCGAGTCTCCTGCC